TTTACAAACCACTTTTCACAGACAAGCCTATGAACTTCATTTCATCTACCTACTGGATACAAAAAATCATGGACTAACTATAGACCTTGGATTTATGACACACTATAACCTGCCTAACATCTCATTCCCCAGGTACCTCTCCACTATTTACCAGCTACATTCATTCCCCTCCCCTCCCCACAACCTGTCTCTGACTCCTCAATTTACATCTTCACTGACTGGCTTGCATGCATACCAGCCTCTGGCTTGGTTATTCATTCTATCCAGGAAGAGCACACACCGACTGCAGATGCTTCCTCAGCCTGAGGAAGGGTATTTATACCTGAAAGCTTACAAACAAGAATTTTTTGAATTATCCAAGTTGGTCTAATAAAAGATATCCGATTTACCCAAAGAACCTAGGCTGCCTCTGTCCTTAGATCAACACGGCTACAAACTATACTCCTGTAAGGATAATCTTCAGTGTTATTTTCTTTAGTGTAAACTGTTTACATCTTCAACTTCTGGTTTACAAAGTTTTACAAGTTATGCTATTTAGAGGTGCACAGATATACCGGTCTGTATCATATCGGCACTGATAAAGGAAAATTAACGTTATTGGCCGTCAGTTTTTTGGCTGATATCACCGATAAATGCCATGTGCATGTGTCCAACCGCAGCATATACATGACTGGAAATGCAGTTCGGCAGCTTGGAGAGCAGTCTGGCCGGTAAATCTGTGAGGGGTCAAAAGTGGGGGGAGGTGTGCAGATCAAACTCCCCCCCCGCCCCCCATGAGGGAGGGAATGGGGTTGGGGCTGGCACTGTCCAGCCAAGGTGGGGTGGAACCACAGGCAGCTTGTCCAGGGGGCTGGGGTGGGAAGGGCTCCAGCTGCTGTGCGCATCCCCAGGGGAGCCATGTGAACCCCCTGAATTTGTGTGGGGTGAGGACGGGGTGCCCACTGTGGGTTGGGGCTGGGGGCTGCACTGGCCTCTTCCCGGTGGGGGGGCTGGGCCAGAGCTGCATTTAGGGTGGGCAGGGCAGGCGGTGGTGCTGGGGGGGACTATGGAGAACTTTGGAGTGGCTGTAGCCCACCCTGCAGCCCCCCTTCCGAGCACCGCTACCACCTGACTCAAGTACAGCCCTGGCCCAGCCTTCCCACCAGATAGAGGCTGGTGCAGCCACCAGCCCCAGCCTGCCCTTACCCCATGCACAAATCCAGGGGGCATATGCCCCCCATACTTTCCCCAGGGGTGCATGCAGCAATGGAAGCTCTTCCCCACACGAGCTGTCCATAGCTCCTGTCTGTGTCCTGCTCCAGCTGGGCAGCACCTGCCTCTGCCCCTACCCTAGCCCCTTCCCTCCCTCACCATGGGGGCTTCAATCTGCACCCCCCACACCCCTTCCCTCTCCCACAGACTTACCAGCCAGGGGCTGCTCTCCAAGCTGCTGGGCTGTATATTGGCAATTGGATCAGTATCGGCTGATATGGCTGGTTAATAATCAGCCACCAGTATCGGCCAAAAAAGATTTACTTTTTTTTTTTTTAAAGTAAAATCTTTATCAGTGCACCCCTCATGCAATTACTTTTCCTTCATTATCTCCCCTTTCAATCTTTTCCCCCCTGACGACTCATGATATTCATTTATGTGACACTTGTGTATCCTAATTGGAGATATTAAAGGAGCCAAGTAGTACCCAGCTGGGTTAAATTTAGCAGTAACATTTAAAGAATATAAAAATGAAATAAGAGGAAGAGGAGTCAAGTCACAGTTAAAACTACTATATATCAGTCCAGCCACGACCTCCTTACTATTTCTATATAATCTATTTGCTTATATAAGTTCATAATTTCCAACATGGCAAGTAACATCACTGTTTAACTATGCACATTCCAAAAAACTAACTTTCTGCTTTCCCCACACATAAAGCAAGATTTTTTTTCCTCTAAAGAATATGTTAAACAAAATGAAGTTAGATTCAGAACATACACAGTTCTGATCTTTAAAAAATACCATCGCAAATTGCTATTTTACATTAATGATTTTTAAATAACCAAAATTTGCTAGCATTACGGTGAATGACAATGCTTCAAAAAAACCCTAAAAATGCATTTAGAACTACCTTTTTAGCATTAAAGCAGGTTGGCCTTTTTCCTCTCTTGGGGTTAGTATGCATGCACACACTATTGCTCAAGGCTTTTGTGCTCTGACCCTATGTAGGGAAATGTATTGTGCTGCCCATACTTGCCATCCCTGTTCAAGTTTTTAGCCAGGCTGCATCTCTAACTAAATGTCAGAATGGGAATCAGATTTCCTATTTCTGCTAGTCAAGTAAAAAACACAAGTCATGTGTGTCCTATGCAAGAGGTTGTTGTGGCTTTAATGCTTGCCAAATACGCCTGGCAAATGTTTGCTAATAATAATCTCCAGATTTTGTACTACCAATACTTGCTGAGCTAGTTTTTGTTACCAAGACAAATCAAGAGCAACAGGGTAATTCTCTAACAGCTGTTACGGCATACTCTCCCCCTGTAACACTGTACTTTATTTATATAGTAACGACTGAATGAAGTCACAAAATGTGTTAGGGAAGTTCTTTGGGGACCAAACACTCAAGAATCACCTTGCTATCAGCATATGCTAGCTCTGTTTGCCTATTTTCTTTTGTTTTTCCCCAAAGCCTAAAAATATCATTTCCAGAGTCAAAATTACAAAGAATACATGCATGTAAGTAACTTCAGTTTCTCTGAGAAATTAATCTAGTAATTAACACTTTAAATTCAACCTATCCTCCCATTATAGCATCAAAGCAAGATTTATACACCCACAAAATTCTTCTCGCTTGCAAGTCTTTAGAACGGGGTGGGCAATAATTTGGTCCAAACAGCCATTGGGGGGGGGGGGGGGG